CTGTTACTTCAGTCTTCCTCCCCCAAAAATGGACAGAGTCGGGTTAATATGTGTGCAAAGCCCCACACACCAAAAGGTATAATGCTCAAGTGTGCCAGTGCCAGTGAATGATGATCTAGACATGTAGAGTGAAGTGGGTAATCCTCCCATGCCAGAGAAACACCTATTGTAATTGTTCAACCTTCAGCACAAATGTTTGACCTGTGGTACATAAGAAAGAATGCAACCTGTTACTGTATAGGTTGGGAGAGAAAAGTCGCAACTGCCAGTGTGCTATTCGAGGCATGGCTGAGAGGTATCCAACAATTTCCGCAGAACATACTATCGCTCCAAAGCAGCCTATGAAAATTGCATAGCTCCTGATATAATACTGCAACTCAGAGAGGCATGAGATCTAGTGAACACAGCTGAGTCTGTCCCCGAAGGCTCACCAGCCCGGTCTCACGAGCTGTGGCGGTACCGATGATATACCGAGTCCGGCAGGTATGACGTCACTAAATGAGTTAGCCCGACAGCTGGCTCGGAAACGAGCTGACCATCAACTGGATTTTCGGCGCTCCGGCTCAGCTTGGCTTGTTGCAACAAGCTGGGCGTCTAGTTGGCAAGCTGAGTTAGCTGGATAAGCCGGCTCAGCTTGGCGGCAACACTAGTGTCCCTGCGATCTCGCGCTCATCTCGTTCCTGGAATGCAAGAGGATCACCGTTTGATAATCTGGGGAAATAAGCATGCTATTATGTACAGTTTACACTTTTAACTCGACGATGCTAGTGATATAGTAATGAATGCGCGTAATAGTACTGTACTTTCTTCCGTGTAGACTTCTCTCGGCTGTCCACTCCGAACGTACACTCCTTCATACACACTGCATGAAATATGTCTGTGACAAGCCAAAACACGACATCTGGTGAAACAAGCCCGAGAAATCAAGACGATGTATACGAAAGAAAGAAAGAGGGATGCGAGTGATAACAGATGAATCGGCATGATTGAGAAAAGGACGTAAATGAATCCAAGTTTGAGCATCATAGAATAGAGATCGAGGTCTGAGACCAGGAAAGGCGTGCAGGCACCTAAGCTTTAAGCCTCGACAGTGATGGCCTGCCCGCCCCCAGTGAGGGTGCTCTTGGGAGGGATGAAGGTCTGCGAAGAGAATGTCAGAAACACGAGCGATCATGTAAAGCCACGTGACTCACCCTGGTCTTGATACCACCGTCGAAGGGGAGGCGGGTGACGCCATTGCTCAACCACGCGTCAACCTCGGCAGCGCAGCGACGACCCTCCTGGATACCCCATACAATGAGCGACTGACCACGACGGCAGTCACCTGCAGCGAAGACGCCTTCGACGCTCGTCGAGTATTTCTACAGCGATAATTTCAGATGAGGGCACTGATTATGGAGCGATGGCAAACAAATACGTACGTTCGTTGGGGTCTGGATGTTGCTGCGTGCGTCCTGCTTGACGCCAAGCGACTTGAGGACCTCGGCCTCGGGACCCAGGAAACCGAGAGCAAGGAAGACGAGCTGAGCAGGGAAGAACTTCTCCGACCCGAGGACTTCCTCCATCTTCCAGCGTCCTCCGCTGTCCTTGGTCCACTCGACGCGAACAGTGTTGAGGCCCTTGAGCTTGCCCTCTTCATCGACGACGAACTCCTTCGTCGAGATGCAGTACTCGCGCGGGTCGCTGCCGAAGTGCGCCGCAACCTCAGTGTGGCCGTAGTCGGTACGGAAGATGCGAGGCCACTGCGGCCAGGGGTTATCGCGACCGCGGCCCTGTGGAGGCTTGGGCAAAAGCTCGAAGTTCGTGACGGACTTCGCACCGTGGCGCATCGCAGTACCGATGCAGTCGTTGCCGGTGTCACCACCGCCGATGACGATGACGTCTTTGCCCTTGGCAGAAATGTAGCTGCCATTCTGGAGCTCGGAGTCAAGCAAGGATTTGGTGTTGAGCTGGAGGAACTCCATGGCGAAGTGGATGCCGTCAACCTCACGGTTCGGTATCTTGAGGTCACGAGGCCAGGTCGCGCCAGTCGCAAGAATAACTGCATCATTCTCCTGGCGGATGTCGTTGATGTCGACGTCCTTGCCGACGAAGGTGCTCGGGACGAAGGTCACGCCCTCGGCGGCCATGAGGTCGAGACGACGCTGGACCACGCCCTTGTCGAGTTTCATATTGGGGATACCGTACATGAGAAGACCACCCATGCGGTCGTTGCGGTCGTAGACGGTAACCCAGTGGCCAGCCTTGTTGAGCTGGTCAGCAGCCGCAAGACCAGCAGGGCCGGAGCCAATGATAGCGATCTTCTTGCCCGTGCGGAATTGAGGAATCTGAGGAGCCATCCAGCCCATCTCGAAGCCCTATGGTCGTGACAAGTGAGCATACCGATGCTATCGGATGAGAAGACAGGTCTTCGTACCTTATCGATGATTGCGCATTCGATGCTCTTGATACCGACGGGCTGCTCGTTTATGCCAAGCACACATGCGCCCTCGCACGGGGCAGGGCAGACGCGACCAGTAAACTCGGGGAAGTTGTTCGTCAACAGCAGTCGGTTGAGTGCGTCGTGCCACTGGTTCTTGAACACGAGGTCGTTCCACTTGGGTATGACGTTCGAAATCGGACAGCCAGTGTCGGACTGGCAGAAGGGAACACCGCAGTCCATGCAACGGGCTGACTGGTACTTTAGCTCATCGTCGTTGAGACGGTGCGAGATCTCCTTCCAGTCCTTGACCCGCTTGCGAGGGGGGCGGTAAGTCTCCGTCAGACGCTTGTACTTCATGAAGCCACGCGTCTTATCGAGCTTGTTAAGACGGTTCTTGGTCGTGGCCTCGTCGACTAGGGAGTCCTCGAGGTCCTGGACAGCAGGCTCATGGCGCAGGCGAGAGCTAGTGCGGCTCATGCGCGAAGGAGGCTCCTTGGGAAGAAGAAGGTCCTCGAGACCTTCCGACGCAAGGTCGACTTGGCTGGCAGTGCGCGATGGCACGAGGTCGATGACGCTCTGGCGCATCCTCTCCTCCTTGGCTTTGGCGGCCTGCTCTTCGATGACCCGCTTGTAGTCGTGAGGCATGACCCTGACGAAGAGAGGAAGGAGATGGTGGAAGTCGTGGAGGACGCGATCGGCCACCTCTGAGCCGGTATAATGACGGTGGTCCTCGATAAGACCACGAAGCTCAGCGATCTCCTTGGGATCTGTGACCTTTCCGAGCTCGACCATCTCCATGTTTACCTTCGATGCGAAAGTGTGTGCGGTGTCGAGGACGTACGCGATACCACCGCTCATACCGGCAGCGAAATTGCGGCCGGTGCTGCCGAGGACGACGACGCGACCACCAGTCATGTACTCGCAACCGTGATCACCAGTACCCTCTACAACGGCGTTCGCACCAGAGTTGCGGACAGCGAAACGTTCAGCAGCAATACCACGGATGAACGCCTCACCGGAGGTAGCACCGTACAAGCAGACATTGCCGATGATGATGTTCTCCTCAGCCTTAAACGTCGATTGCTTAGGCGGGTAGACAATGAGACGGCCGCCAGAGAGACCCTTGCCGACGTAGTCGTTCGCGTCGCCTTCGAGCTCGATGGTGATACCAGGCGCGAGGAAGGCGCCGAGAGACTGACCGGCGGAACCTCGCATGGAGATGTGAATCGTGTCCTTGGGAAGACCCTCCTCGCCGTACAACTTTGAGACCCGGTACGACAAAGAGGTGCCGAGGGCGCGGTCCGTGTTGGTGACATCACAGTCAACGTGGACAGGAAGACCACTCGTGAGCGCGGGCTCGGCCTCGTCGATGAACTTGTTGTCGAGACGGATGTAGAGCTTGTGGTCCTGGGGACGAACGCGATAGGTGGCGGCCCCAGGCCGCATTTGCCAAGCAGGCTTGAGGATGGCGCTGAGGTCGAGGTGTGCGGTCTTCGGCGTCCGTAGCTTCTCGTCAACCTTGAGCATATCAGCGCGACCAACCATCTCGTTGATCGTACGGAAGCCGAGCTTGGCCATATACTGACGGAGATCTTCGGCGATGTAGTAGAAGAAGTTGATCACCTGCTCAGGTTGGCCTGCGAACTTCGCACGGAGCTGCGGGTCCTGGGTAGCAATACCAACAGGGCAGGTGTTCACTACGACGTACGTCAGAACGTGAAGTCCTCGGGACACTTAGTGAAGCAACTTACGATGACACTTGCGCATCATAATACAACCCATGGCGATAAGAGGGGTGGTAGCGAAGCCCCACTCTTCGGCACCAAGCAAGCACGCGATAGCAAGGTCGCGTCCAGTACGAAGCTGTCCGTCGGTCTGGACAGTGACACGGCCGCGGAGATCGTTGAGAACAAGCGTCTGGTGGGTCTCGGCGAGACCAAGCTCCCACGGGAGGCCAGCGTACTTGATACCGGTCCAACGGGACGCACCAGTACCTCCATCGTGCCCAGAGATGAGGATGTGATCCGCCTTCGCCTTCGCGACGCCGCTCGCAACAATACCAACACCGACCTCGGACACGAGCTTGACAGAGACACGAGCACGAGGGTTTGAGCACTTGAGGTCGTAGATGAGCTGCTTGAGATCCTCGATCGAGTAGATATCGTGGTGCGGAGGAGGCGAGATGAGACCGACACCGGCTGTCGAGTGCCGGGTGCGCGCGATGGACGTCGACACCTTGTGTCCGGGAAGCTCACCACCTTCGCCCGGCTTGGCCCCTTGTGCCATCTTTATCTGGAGCTCGTCCGCATCCGCGAGGTAGTTAGAAGTGACACCGAACCGACCAGACGCGACCTGCTTGATCGCGGAGCGCATGATGTCGCCGTTGGGCAGAGGCTGGGAACGCTCGGCATCCTCGCCGCCCTCGCCCGTGTTCGACTTCCCGCCAAGCCGGTTCATGGCGATGGCGAGCGTGGAGTGCGCCTCCATCGAGATTGACCCGTACGACATCGCACCGGTGACAAACCGGCGAACAATTTCATTCCAGGGCTCTACTTGCTCGATCGGGATCGGAGTGACATTCTCGTACCGGAAATCGAGGAGGCCGCGGAGATGAACTGCCCTGGTCTGCTCGTTCGCATTGGTGGCATACGCATCGTACGCACGCTGGTTCTTCTCTCGGACGGCATCCTGGAGATTAGCGATTCCTGACGGATCGTTGACGTGTGCTTCCCCGCCGGAACGCCAGTGGTATTCTCCTGACTCCGGCATCCCAGGCGGAATGATGGTTTCACGGGAAGGCCAGCCACGCTCATGCATCTCGAACGCGTCCATCGCTAGAAGATCGAAGGTCGCCCCCTGAACACGACTCGCGGTTCCAACGAAGCACTTCTCGATCACTTCCGTGTGTAATCCGAGCGCCTCGAAAATCTGCGCGCCTTTGTACGATTGCAGGGTAGAAATACCCATCTTCGACATCACCTTGAGGATACCCCCATCTACCGAGTGGCGGTAGTTGGCCATCAGGTCGTCGAGCGTCTTGTTATCCTTAACCCTGTAGACCCCAGTAGCGTGTTAGAAGCTCTCCAAGATAGGTACGATACACCGACACTCACAGTCCTTCCCGGACGACCTTGTGGATAGACTCCATCGTAAGCCATGGGCAGATAGCGTCGGCGCCGTATCCGAGAAGAACGCAGAGGTGGTGGACTTCGCGGGCCTCCGCAGTCTCGACCATGAGCGCGACCTTCGCACGCTTCTTCTGAGTGACGAGGTGGTGGTGGACGCCACCGCACGCGACCAGGGCCGAAAGCGCAACGCGGGTCGGTCCGGTCTCGCGATCGGAGAGGATGATGACCTTGATGCCATCTTCGATAGCTTGCGTCGCCTCAGAGCAAACGCGCTCGAGCGCGAGCTTGTAGCCCGGCAGGCCGAACTCCTTCGGGAATGTGATGTCTATGGTGCGGGAGGGCCAGGTCGCGTACGCGTGCTTGAGATTCTTCATGGCGTTCATCTCCTCGAGCGACAGGATGGGAGAGGGGAGGAGGATACGGTGGCACTGCTGAGGATTCATCTCAAGAAGGTTTCCTTCGGGACCGACATAGCACTCGAGAGACATGACTATCGACTCTCGGATCGCGTCGATAGGGGGATTGGTGACCTGAGCAAAGAGTTGGCGGAAGTAGTCGTAGATGAGGCGGGGTTGCGTCGACATGGCGGCGAGGGGAGCATCGTTACCCATAGAGCCAAGTGCCTCCTTGCCGTCGGTGAACATGGGAAGCATGAGCAAGTTGAGCTGTTCGACAGTGTAGCCGAACGCGAGCAACTTGGGATCGGTACTGAGGGAGTAGTGATCGATAGACGGCTCGACGGAAGTAGCACGCTGGACGCGTTTCACGATTGTAGGGACGTTGAGCAGGTTGGTCTCGATCCAGGACGCGAAGTTCTGCTTCCGCGCAGTGGTGCGCTTGAGCTCCTTGTCGTCGACGATGCGGCCCTCCTCGGTGTCGACGAGGAGCATGCGTCCGGGCTTGAGACGGCCCTTCTGTATGACTTTCTCAGGGGAGATGTAGAGTGCGCCGACCTCAGAGGCGCATACAATGATGTCCTCATTGGTCACGACGTAACGGCAAGGGCGCAGACCATTACGGTCGAGGTTGGCGCCGCAGTAACGGCCGTCGCTGAAAGTGAAGAGAGCAGGACCGTCCCAAGGCTCCTGAAGACAAGCAGCCCAATTGTAGAACGCCTTCTTCTCAGGCTCCATGATATCATTGCCCTGCCATGCTTCTGGGATAAGCATCATGATAGCCTCAGGAAGGGTCAAAACGCCGTTCACGACAAGCAACTCAAGCACGTTGTCGAACGCAGCAGAGTCGGAACCACCAGACTCGATGATAGGGTATAAGAGGTCAAGCTGATCTCCAAAGTGGGACGAGGAGAGTACGCCCTCGCGAGCGCGCATCCAGTTCCGATTACCGCGGAGGGTGTTGATCTCACCTGACAATGACACGATCATTCGATTTTCAGTTTCGAGGGAGTATGCGTGCAGTGGATCTTACCGTTATGTGCGGCCCACCTCATGGGCTGAGCACGGTCCCAGCTGGGGAAGGTGTTGGTGGAAAAGCGAGAGTGGACGAGTGCGAAGTGCGAACGGTAGAGGACATGGTTCAGGTCGTGGTAGTAGTTGTACACTTGCGGCGGCGAGAGCTGACCCTTGTAGACGATGTTCTTGGATGAAAGCGAACAGATATAGAAGCCCTTCGAGAGCGAACTTCATATAGACACATCCGACAACTTAAGCTAGCGTTCATATACTGAAAAGAGCGGAAGGGGACAAACATGGTGTGCGTCGCGTGCTTGCGTAGGATATAGAGCTGACACTCGAAGAGCTTGGCGTCGAACGCACCACCGCGAGGGGTGTTACCCTCACCATAGTGAGAACGCAAGACTACGAACGGCTGAAGGATAGCGGGCTCTTTGCTTGCGGCCGCCGGGCCAAGGATGGTGCCGTCGGTTGGGACCTCTCTCCATCCGAGGACGCGGAGACCTAGGTCTCCCGCAATCTTTGAGAAGATAGCCTGCTGCTGCTGAAGAGCGACGGGGTTGTTGGCCTTGAAGAAGACGTTCCCGACGGCGTACTGGCCGGCCTCCGGAAGCTCGCAGCCGATTTCGCGCTCACCCTCCCGCTTGAAGAAGAGGTGAGGGATACCGGTCATGACTCCCGCACCGTCGCCGTCGCGGCTATCTGCGCCGGTGGCGCCGCGATGGGTCATAGCACAGAGGAGTTGACGAGCATCGGAGACGATTTTGTGGCTCTGGTCGCCCTTGATATGGCAGATGAAGCCCACACCGCAGGCATCCTTCTCGAGGTCGTTCACGTAGAGGCCCTGACTAGCAGGCAGCGAGGCATCCCAAGACGTCGGGTCGCGCTGAACGGCGTTGAATCCATTTTGTGAATCTGTGTCAGAAGTAGGCAAGGATCTGTGAAGGCAAGAGGGGTCTGCGTGGCAATCCACGATAGCCATAGAACGATAGCGGAGTTGGCGGATCTAAGCGGCAGATGGGGAGCGACCAGGCAGATGGGGGTGCGCTGGAGAGGGGCGATGGTGGTGGTCCGGGTGCAAGGGCTGACGGAAGAGCACAAAGAGGCTTGAGACGCCACAGCGCAATTTTGTGCGGACTTTCGAGTCAGAGCAGAGGCTGCAGACTGGAGTCAGTGGGGTTTGCGTTCAAGCACCGCGTGCCGCCTTCACCCGACTCTCCCGATAGTCGATCGACTTTAGTCGAGCCACTTTCTTTCGCTATCTTATCTCCTTCTCGTCCAATCACAGGCCCCATAGATCTAATCCCTGTCAAAATCGCCATAATCTGCTCATCATCTCGCACGCATCTGATCTAATCTCCCTTTGCACGCGGAACCCCGCCGGACATCCTCTACCGTTAATCCCCCCAGCGCCCCATGTCTCTTCTCAATGTACCCCTGCATACGATAGACCGGCCTCGCTGGCTGGTGCCACCCCTACAACTCAAACTACCGCACCTAGCACCTTCGCTGTATTCAGAACAAACAGAAACGATGCAATGCCTGCCCTTCGCTAACTGCGGCACGATTTCATGATCGTCCCGCCAGAAACATAAACGCCACCCCCTGCTGCTGGACCTCCAACGTCAGCATAGATCCATTCTCGTCCCTTGCACTATACGACGAAGCTCGCCACCACGGCGCTCAGATCGCCATATCTGGACCCTACTCCGACGTTGCCTCGCCCTTCGTTCAGGCAAACGCGAAGCTTCAGGCTCCAGAGTTCAAACTTCAAGGCCTCTCCATCGCGTCGAAACTGCGCGGTACCTCGGAGAAATCCTTGACAGCCAGCTCGGCCCGGGGAGGCTGACCGCGATGCGCGTCACCGCGCTGGCCAGCAGGCACCGTCCATCCGCCCCGGACCGTCGAGACGATTTCACCCTAGGCTGTTAGAATTGCTCGAATATTCCGTACATGTGTACCATGGGGTTCTCATCGAGTTCGTTGAGGCTTGAAACTTGGGAAGACGACGTGCAGACCATGGGCCGCAGGGGCACTAACCGTGAGAGTCCAAGGAGCGTCGGACGGTATGTGTTCCGGTGCACATTCCGCTGCTCCGAGCCCCGAGTCCCCAAGCGTCGAGTGATCGAGTCTATCCAATTCGTGTGCTTCCCGCTGCATACTCTGTCACGCGGGACCATGGAGCAGATCGCAATCAGGAAGCGATTCCATCAGATCGAACCTTGGCTGGCGTGCGTAGACTTCTGTCGAATGCCACGCACGACTCCAATAGCCCTCGTCCCACCTACCTCGGAAGATTCTGCGTGGGGCCAGGCCTAGAATAACTCGTGTTGAGGTGCACTCGGAAAGAAGTGTCAGGGCGAGTCTGCCGTGACGTACCATGGAACGGTTCCCGAAGACAAACGGAAACGCTCCATCTCCCTGAGAATCGCAGTCAAGAACCTCCTGCCGGATCAGGCCTTTTATGGCTTCGCAAAAGAATACCGGTACAAAGGGCTCATCCACCACAGCGTAGATTCCCTGCATGCTCGAGACACGAGGAGAACGGGGTGCAAATCTAGCCTGCCCCATCGTGCAACGCACAACAGACCACCGCTGGTGAGAAGGCGTGTCAGCGTAAGTCAAATCGCATCCGAATGCCTTCCGAACCTTTCTGATGTCCATTGTATTGCCGTACCGTTTCTCCCGTCGACATGTCCCACAGCCGCGCTGTGTGGTCGGAGGACGCTTTACACACATAAATTAGAAACAAGGGATCGGCTGGCATGTAATGTGCGCTGCAGCCACACCTGTCACTAGATATGCGGAGTCGGCGCTGAATGCACAGTCCCAGACCCAGCGTTGGTGACCTTGCAATGTCTTATCCAGCTTAAATTCATAGTTTGGCGATATTGACCAGATTTTTACGGTGGTATCAGCAGAACAGGTCGCAAGATATCTAGTTTGACGTCGTCATTGGCGTCATCTCGAACTAAGTAGAAGAACGAGGGACCGCTCACTTGACATCAGGGCTTAACAGTAGCCGGGTGAGGTACTTCGTGTGAGCTTGGAACATGGTGACGGCCTGGAACCTTGGTAGGTCCGATCTCTCATCGTTGATCTTCCATACATAGCACTTTCCCTACACCAATACCGGTTAGCGCATGATCTCATTGTATTCGAACGCGCCATACCTTGACACTACCCGCGACGAGGCAGGAGCCGTCAGAAGCGAGACTTATGGAACGCATCGGCGTATCTCCTCCTGGAGTCTGGAGTTTCATGGATGGGCAAGAGGTGAACCAAGTTAGCGAATGGACGCACCAACTCGTGAGTGCAAATGTTCTCCGACAAGTCCCACTGCTTGATCCTCCCAGCTTGGTCGCATGAGATAAGCTCGCCCTGATTGGGATGTACCACTACGTCGTTCACTACATCCCGAAAATGTATTAGCGGTCAGGGTGTACTCTCTGTATGCTCGTTGTACCTGGGGCTTCGTTGTCGTAGTTGCGATGCAGGTGACTGCTACTTCTGTATTCGGAGCACCCTCGAATATTCACTTACAACAGTACGATGGAAGGAGGTACAAGCGTACCGAAGGTCCCAAATCTTGATGGTGCCATCCTCGCTGCCAGTCACCAACCACTTCCCTTCGCTATGGAAGCACACAGCGGTGATATTACCATTGTGGCCCTCATAAATCGCAACCTGCGGGTCCGAGGGACAATGTAACATGGACACTGAGCCTTCTAAGTAGATTAACGTACCGGTCCCGCAGATGGCGCTGCAGCGATCTCGTAAATGTATGCCTTCTTGTGGATGGCTGCAGCCAAGAGTCGTTTGCTAGACGCCGAATTGCGTAGTATGAGGAAAGGTCGAGAAAATATGGTGTAGCGGTAGCTCACTCAGGGGAGATTGCGAGTCGGTTGACTTGCTGTTGGAACACGACGCAGTGGGTATGTGAACCGGATGTTATGGACGCACATGACAAACGGGGCCCTCACTCCAGATTCAGCAGCCCTGGGTATAGTCCGGGAACAAATACCGCTCCAGGCCTCCCAGAAGCGAATTTCGTGATCGTAGGAACCAGTTACAAGGATGACAGACATATCCGTGCGGGCAGCAGTAGCAGCAGTAGACCGAGAAGAAGGGGTCTGCACAGGCATCACGGATGGACGAAACTAAAGGACTAGGAGTAGAAGATCGTGCTCGGGATTGAGTGGGCGCTTCTTACGTAACGAACATGCAGACAACAGCAAGGTGAATTGCGAGGTTCTTCACTCGTATGTTGCCCTATCGCCCCTTACATGCATAGCTAATCGGGTTCTCGTTTGGCTTAAACTTCAATGGCCTCTTCTGCTTCTTGGTCTAGGTCCATGCTTTCCGGAAAAGCTTCCTTTATCATCGAAGTTACTACCTGTTACAGCGACACCTGGACCCTAACGCTGAATGGGAACAGACCTGTTCAGATTTCGCACACTGCACAGATGCCGTCGCCGCTAAGCTTATCTTGTGGCAGTCGGGTAAGCAAGTTCTGGGCGAGCCGGCTGTGTGCATTCAACCATGCGTACTGCGTGCGTGCAGAGTCCATATTAAGGTAAGGAATATACTCCTGACTGTTCGCGATTCTCGTGGTTGACCGGCGAAGGAGGGGGGGCATTCCCCTTGAGCCGGTCTCTTCTGCCCATCTTCCCGCGAAGCAGCTCCTCTGAGCCCACTCATTGCCTCTCATCTCTCTCTGATCTGGACCCCTGCTGTATGTCGTGCTTTCTCACGTACGCGTGCCCCGGTTTGATCTGCCATTCCCTTCCGGCGCGCCTTCTGGACCGCCCCTTCATGGAGAACATCCATCCAAGAATAAGATGTCCCCTTTAACAACCCTCAAGAAAAATGAACAATATGACGCCCGTTGGCGTACAAAGCTGGGCCGTGTACCGAGAGCTTCGTCAACTTGTCGCTTCGCCCTAGCTTCCCCTTAGCCTCGGAAAGTATAAAGGAGACCAAGATGTTTGTAGGTATGCCATCCCCCGCTAGCCATTGACCCACTGTTTACGACGCTTATGGACCCTTTCCCCGTAGGTGGCCACACTTATTCCAATTCCCCGTTGGCCTGACCCCTCCCTTAGATCGGCACCCGAGTGTTCTTCCTTGAGTGCGGCAAGACTCGCACAGGAACTGTACAGAACACGGAGACCATCGAGGTGAGCGCATCGCTGCTTCACACGCTGTCATGCTGACGCGACATCCAGGGTCTTCGTTATGTTGTTATAAAGCTTGACGACGGGAGTCCCAACCCTGTGAAGTTACCGTGCGTATGCGTTTCCTATGGCACACGTTCTTGCACGAGGGCTCATTACGTTTAGTTTGTCTAGTGTGAACAGCATCTCAAAATCCGCTTAGTCCTTTGGTAGGACGGATGCCACCACTTCATACCAAAAGTATATTGCTTGTCGGACTGCATGGACTCACTAGATTGTATCATTGCGCTCCTCATACCCCATCATTGGCACACGCGGCTTAGACATTTACCACGGACTCGTACTGTACCTGCTCGAGAAGCTAGTTTATTAGATGGGAACTGTAGCAGATATAGAGCGGTTCCGAACTACATGGACTTTGCGCCCCAATTTTGTGTGAGGCATCATGGTTTCTGAGAGGACATTCTGCGGGAAGTTCTTCTGGATGCCAGCGAGGATCGTGCAAATGACGACCTGCCTCGACCTCCGAGAATGATCCAGACAGGGAGAGGAGGTAGGATGTCGTTGAAGCCAGATGACAGGTCTCACTCTCGCAGCTCAAACCAACAGCTGGGTCCAATGCTTCCTCCTGCGCTTCCTCTCCTCCTACCCGAAACGAACGCGATCTGTCTTGTCCATGTTGGCTGCCTAAGTATGTCCGATCCCCGATCGTCCGCTATGGAGGTCGGGCCGGCGGCCTAACGTTCGCGCGATACGCCGGCAAGATAGGAGGTGATCTAAGCGCCCCTCTATGGCCGAACTTCTCAGCATCTTCTATGAAATATGTAGCCTTTGGCCAGGTTCTCACTCGCCCTCGTCTCCTAGCACCCCAGTTCTCATCGAAACCCCTCGAGCATGCAAGGAACGCCTGAGTTGTCTACCGCGGGGGCGCCACCACTTTTGCCTCATGTTGACCAAGCACCGATCAAGTTACCTCCCGGTAACGCCCACAATGCGAGCAGGACGAACACGCTTCAAAACATGAGCCGTGTCCTATATGTCTCTATCCGGCTGCTACTCGGAGCTTTCTTAGTCGTGGAGCGCGTTTGTGTTGCGGCGCATGAACTGCTCTGCTATATCTTGCGCCTGTCTCCGTGTCAGGTGTACGGCCCGAGAGAAAGTGCTGTTGTTGTAGTGGGCGGAAATGATGGTATGTGTAGTCCGATAGGAGGGGGTGCCGATGTATCGCACGAATCGCTCACTATAGCGGTTCCCGGGCACCGACCAATTACTTCGCAGAACTAGGCAGGCACATTGCTGTGAACTTCTCACAGCTGGGCTACACTGTCTTTGTGCTTTGCCCAGACAGCCCTCAAGCACGGTCCCCCTCTGACGTAGACGGTCCGAATGTGTCTTCGGTAAGAGAGCGATCCGCGTGGTTTTCCCCTAGTCCCACCGTCGCTCACCGCTCCTGGTAGCTTATTCAAGAATGGCACCAGAGGATAAAAAGATCCGGCCAATCGAAGTCACCTTGGGGTCTCGTAGCACCAATCGTCTTGGACATGAAGTCAGACGCGCAGAGAACGCGTGCGGTCGAGACCGTTGACGCCTACTGCGTGGCCCATCATCTCCACCTGGTCGCACTTGTGGTGCTCCCCTCGAGCGGTACGTGGTAACCCGCCTTTTCCGGGCAATACTCGGTTGACGGAATAATGGACCTATGCATATACCATGACTGCTCAGTCTCGTCGCCGCATGCCGCGAAGACCCTGCAGAGTATCCAGGAGGACCTCCACTTCGGCGTCTCAGCGTGGTGTGAAGTTCTCCGTGAATGCCTCGTTGAGCCCGTGTCCCTAGTCCAGGACTATGTGGACACGCTCACGGCTGCATCCGGGCGCGTCGTCATGGTGCTCTCCTGTAAGTAACCTCGACCTCACCTGATTTGCATGAGGGGTGACCATTGATTCACCCTGCGGCTCTGCACAATTGAATGCAGCCGATCATCAACCATGGCCTGCTTCTCTACATGAGTTGCAGGACAGAACTCTTCTCTCCACCGCCCAGTACTTGCGGCGGGTGCTTGAGCCGTTGGGTATCAGAGTCTCAACCGTTTCCACTGGGCCCTCAGCCCCAGCCACCGCTTCTTCCACGACATTTGCGGAGGCCAGGTGAGTCTTCTGCCCTTTACGAACCTTGTTATAAACGTAGCTGTGGCGACAGTGCCTCCCGCGGATCCCCCTCATTAACCCGTGGAGGTAAGTGCGTTTTCAGCCTCGATGCTTCTGGCGCTTCACTCATCATTGGCGTCCATAGACTACTTACGGACCATTCAATGCACGATTGAGGAAGTGCTAGTACAGTTTGCCGTCGCCCATGAAGACGTGTGGCGAACCTTGCAAGCAATTACACGTTCACCGTGAGTTCTGTAGCAAGTGGCTGTCCATTGGTGCGTTCGTGCTAACCAGCGCGCCTTTGGATATCTCGATATGTCCCTAGGTACCCGAGAGAGCGTTACAATGTGGGGTTGCATGCGCGGCTACTAGCCGTTTATTATGTGATGCCTACGTTCCTGCATCTATGCTTACGAAACATCATTCCCTAAGTTCATTGAGCGGCGTCATTGCTGAACGCCATATACAGCACGCGGAGAACGACAGTAGAGTAATACCCTCTCACGGCATGGGCGATATGAAGCGGTCCTGATACGGAAACCAGAACGGTCTTAGTAATACGTACGGCCAGTATGAGGCAGATAGCACTCACCCGTATCATGATGCTTAGACGCTGTCTTCCCTCACTGGGAGGATGGGTGCCATCGCCGCTCTGCAAGATGGAGTGCTTGTAGTCGTACCGAACAGCATCCCTGTAACGTCAAGATCATAAGTCTTCCCCCGCTTCATACTTCGGAGACGATCACTTGCTTTTGGATGTAAACGCTACCAGAGGATAGTGGTATCTCATAGCGCTCCTCTGGCAAATTGGATCTTTCCAGACGCAGTATACGCTCGTCTCCGAGGGATACCCCCATAATCCACGTGCTATGTCATAAGCTGCGTATAGATAGAGCAATCGAGAGCGAGCAGACGTACCCGCTTGCCTCCACATTATCGACATGCGGCTAAAACAACGTTGGTGTTCATGCCGGTCATCTCACCAGCCAAGATAGCTTACCAGGATGATTCCATCTGATGCAAGATGGAGGATGTGTGTTTGTATCTCCCCGTTAGGATGAAGCTTTCGCAGTCTTTCTATCAGTGGTATAATTTCCGGCATGTCATCTGGCCATGCAGTGACGTGCATCTCGCGGTATCGTCTGATAACGCCGTCAAAATGTCCCTGAGATAGATACACTCAGTACGAGGAATAGGTGTGAGAAATTGGGGAACGCCAAACATGCCTCTTGGAAGTCATAGAAGTCATCTGGCAAGAACAACGCCTGCACTGGATCAACCGATGGCCCTGGATTATGGTTTTGTAGGAATTGTCTCCTCCTGCGCCGAAACTTTCCACTCTCCATGGTATCCAATTTTTTCAGAGAGGCTTTGAGGAGCAAGCACTGCTCGTCTACCGTGAAGATATTAGGAAACAACGCAAAGTCAGGGGGAAATCTCGTGGCCTGCGTGCCGAATCCCCTGTGAGATACGTAGCAGGCCCCTGCACCCCGGTGCAATCTCAGAGTTGACCCGAAAACTGGGAACAGTCGGAGCATGCTCGAGTCGTGTCCGAGGAAAGCGAGGGTACTCATTCAAAGGAGTGCGCACCAGATGCCTTGTCGGCATTAAGCGCCCACTCACCACATACTCCGGCATTACCCGAGCCGAGTAACGTCATGCTGCCTCCGTACGAAACTTCGGCATGAGCACTTAGATGGTCTCCACGTGTGGTCATTATAGTATCAAGTTCCGGACAACGTATTCTGATATGGCCATGCGCCGAGGTTCGCTTTCCTGATTGTTGCCTGTGACGGCAATTTTCGATACCGACTGCCATGGAGGTGCAGTGAATCATGCGCTTTGGGTGTCAACGCCGCTCTCTATTTCGCCGAAGGAAGCACTAGCCCCGCTCAAAGTTGGCGTATTTTCGTAGCCGCCCGTATTTTGTGCACCCGTATTTTGAGATCCAGCGCCAGCCCTTCGTCACGACAGTGTCACGGCCGCTTAGCTCAGCCGTACCGTCGCGCGTTGATTCCATACACTCCGAGTCTCCTCGTGAACTATCCTACTTGTTCTAGTTTGGCTTTCTTGTACTTCACGGCGATCTTCCCTCGGATACTGTGTCTCAATCCTGAGGGAAGGTCTGGAAGCCCGGCAACACTGCTGAAGACCCTCTCGCTTCGAAACGAACATCAAGTGGGTTGGCTCAGGCTAATGATAGCTACCTGCTCTGGCAACTCATCTCGGAGGCGGAGAAGGTGAAGAATAGCAAAATTTTTTTGGGGGGGAGAAGTTCAGACCAGTCGGCCACTACTGCTATCTAGCATCCAACTCAAGCAGCCTTGGGGCGCCCAAAAACTCTTCTCCGGAAAATAGGACTACTGCGCATTGCTGTCATCGTGATCCTCACTCTCTACTTATGCCCTGGTGGGGGATCAACCAGATATCGGTAACATAGTGTGTATAGTCTACAGCCTAGAGACCTCATCATGCAGGTTTGAGTGTCCTGAGGTGGTGTGCAATGAACGGGGCTCTTGACTAGATGCCATCGCGATGGCGCTGAGATACGACTGAGCTAAGCGGCTGTGACCCCACTGCCGTGACGAAGGGCTGGCGCTGGATCTCAAAATACGGATGCACAAAATACGGGCGGCTACAAAAATACGCCAACTTTGAGCGGGGATACTCAATCGGGTAATCAGAGTCTGGGAGGTACTACTGATCAGTCCCATTTGTGTTTGGTCCATCCAAGCGAGGTTGGCTCAAAAGAGCATTACGGCCCTCCGTAGCGACAGGCGTACTTGAACTCAAGGCACAGAACACTCATAGTAGGTTGGTGAAAATTGCATTGCATTCATGTACCTGTTTCCTGCGGTCTCGGAAGCGGAAATGGTCGCGACCAAGCTCGCTGCTGCCTGGTGTCACTAGATACCCGTCCTGCCGGCATTAGAAACCGACTAGGAGTCCAGTCCACTGCGTCGAGAAATATGACGTCTGGATCCCTGTATCCCGTTCGATTCCAGCTACATAACTGCAAAAACATACTAGTGTGACCCCAGAAGCTACGGATTAAGCGCCTGACCCCAGAAGCTACTGACACACCTCCAGTTCTCGCATTTCCCTGTCAAAAAGTGTGCACGGGTTACACGCGAGAAGACGTACTTCAAAAATATCATTGTAAAAAACAAAGAAGGAAATCGGAAGGGATTTGCTCCCGATACAAGTCAATCTCAGTAGGGTTTCAAGGGTTTACTGACCTTGGTGAGCTGCCACAAAAAGATCTGCAGCGCCGATCTTTCTGTAACTTCGCAAAGTGTTCTGAACATTCTCAATAAACTTTCTTGTTCAGTCTCCGAAGGGTTCCGGGTTGCAGTATTCGAAAGATAGGAAGAGGTCTCTCGAGCGTGACATTCAGCCACTGACCGAGATAAAGCTGACTTTCAATCTGAGCGCTTCGACAATGTTGCCCCGGCCAACTTCGCTATC